GTGCCTTTGGGGTCTCTGTCCTGTCCCTGGTGAGCAGAGCTCTCTCTGCTCCCTGGTGCCCTGTCCTGAGCTGCTCTCCTCCTCCTCCAGGCCCTGCCGCCATCTTGTTCTGCTCCCCTTGGGCCAGAGCCATGGAGTCGGCCACCAGGGACTGGACCTCGGACACCRGGAGCCCCAGAGAGACTCTTCCTCCTCTGATTGTCCTTGTTGGGTCTTTTGGTCCCAGTGGCACCCAAGCAGCCTGAAGGAGCTTCACTTCCTACTTGAAGGAACTGACCAGTCCTGGGGTTGGCCGCCCCTGGGGTCATTGGGACCCCAGGCTCTTCCTCTTCCTCTGCAAGACCCCAGGCATCAGAGCGTCCCCTGAAATCCGTGGTGAACACTCTCCCCGGACACAGCAGGAAGGACAGTGCCCACGTCCGAGGACACTCACCCCCGAGGTCGCAGACGGTGCGGAACGGGGACAGGTCGAAGGCGGTCAGCACCCGSCGCCCGTCGACGCTCCAGATCTCCTGCAGGCCTCGCGTGAACTGCAGCCGCTCGGCCGGGGACCTGGGTGAGGGACGGCGCTGGTCAGGCTCAGACCGAGGGTCCACACCTGCGCCTCGCACGGCTGGGGCTCTCACCTGTAGATGGCCGCGAACAGGTCCCCCGCGGGGACGCCGAAGGCCCTCAGGTACTGGTTGCTGCCCTGTCTGAGGAGCAGGAAGGTGTGGTCACCCCTCGGACATTGGGAGCATCCGCGGGAGGACCCAGAGGTGCCCTGTCCCCTCACGCTGTCCCCTCACCCGCGGATCTCCCTGCAGAGCTGACCCCTGCAGAGCTGACCACTCTTCTCAGGCTCAGCCTCCCCCCCCTGCAGGGCCCCTGGTCCACCACACCCCGGAGCCCAGCGTGGACAGCTCCCCTGCTGGCCACCATACCTGCCCCTCCCCCGGGGGCCATCGCCCCTGCCCCGGCCCCACCTGAGCCCCCGGGGACAGCTGAGGCCCGCCCACCTCACGGCGTCGGCCAGGTGGGCCCAGCAGCGGTAGGTGGTGCTGCCCAGGTACCGGAGCATGGCGCGCTGGCCCGTGGGGCTGCGGCTGGTCAGGTAGGCGCGGGCCAGCTCCGAGTTCGCGTACCGGGCTGGACAGGCGGGGAGGGCGGGGACCCGTCAGAGTGGACGTCACGGCGGCGTGGTGTCCCCAGCGCGGGGCACGCGACCTCCACCCGACGCCCCAGGGCAGCCCTGCGGGTGGGGGCGGCCGGGAGGAGCGGGCGTGGATGGGCAGCGGGCAGCCCTGCGGGGGCTCCTCTCTCCTGGTGCGCTCGGGCAGGGCGCAGTGCGCGCAGGGACCCCCTGGGTGAGGGCGCAGCGGGCGCAGGGACCCCCTGGGTGAGGGCGCAGCGGGCGCAGGGACCCATCGCCACCTGCTCTGCGCCTTTCCCATTATGTAGGTCCGAGGGGCGAGTCCTGGCTCCAAGAAGGGGCAGCCGCCCTGTCCCCCGGGGTTCGCTCAGGGCCGCCCCACTGTCCCTTGGAACGGGGCACGGGGTCTCCCTAAGTCCAGGGGGTGGGGCGGCCGGGGCAGTACGGGGACACGTGGTGGATGCCGCAGGTCAGAGGTACACATCTGGGGGTCAGCGCCCAGAGGACCACAGGGACCTGGTTCTGCATTCGCAGTGCCCCTCAGCGGAGGGACACGGGCCTGCCCCTTCCYGGTTCCCGTCGCTGTGACCAAGAACCTTGGAAAACCAACTGGAAAAACACGAAACTGTTCTTTGGCTCTTGGCCACCTGTGGTGACCATCGGGTCTGTGGCCGGGCAGGGCATCATGGCAGGAGCGYGTGGTGGACCACAGCGGCTCTGCTCTAGGCGGCCAGGAATCAGGCAGAGAGAGACAGAGGAAGAGACTGGGGTCCCAGTGTTCCCCCGGAGGCCACRCCCCCAGTGACCTCACCTCCCGCTAGGCTCCACCTCTTAAAGGCCCACCGCCTCCCAGAGCCGCAAGCCCGACAGCGCCCCTGGTGGGCGGGGAGCAGCTGTCCACCGCGACCCGCTGGCCACCCTCCCCCACGAGGGCAGCTCACCCGTCCCCCCGCGGGTGTCCACGTCCAGCAGCCGCAGGGGCACACAGGCTGCCAGCAGCAGCTCTGTCCCCCGGGGGCTGGCGCCCAGGCCTTCGGAGATGGCCGCCACGTCCAGGGGCCCCGGGGCCTCGGCCAGCAGGTCGAAGAGGCCCAGCTCGCAGGCGGCGAAGAGAACCTGCGGGAAGGCCAGGGCGTCCTGGTGACCGGGGGCGTCCTGGTGACCGGCCCGGGGATCCCCCGAGGCCCCGATTCTGATTCCCTTGGTGACGGGTCCATTGCCAGTGGACTCTGGGCTCTGAGAGAGGTGGCACGGGTCGGGCTCGTGGGTGACCTTCTGGGCCATCTGGCCTCAGTGGAGGACGTCCCTGGGTTCCAGCCCAGTGACCCCGGCCAAGGTGGCCGCTTCTTAGATTCCACGGAGAATTGTCACATGACGGAGCACCAGACTCGAAAAGAATGAGAAGCAGGGGCCCAAGGCTGTCTGCGTAGGAGAGTGGCCACCTGGGTCCCAGAGACCAGAGGGAGGAGCAGCCCAAGTGGCCACCAAGGGATGAAAACAAAACGTGGCCATCTGCACGGTGGAATAGTGCTCGGCCATGAAAAAGGAACGAAGCACCCCCTCCCCCCCCCCATTGAGGCTACGACATTTCAACCTTGGAAACAGGTCAGACGAAAAGTGGGACAGTCCCCAAGAMGAGGAGGGTCCAGTGCCATGTCTGTGGAGCACCGGACAAGTGGGTCCCTAGGACACAGGTGCCTGTCGGTAGGGTGTCGAGAGGCGCTGCGCCACATGGACCCACCGCGWCCCACGACTCGGGTCAACCCTCTCCCCGTCCTGCGCTGGCCGACTCTCTGCCCGTGACGCTGCGGTCATGTCCCTCTTCCCTCCTTTTGGGGGGTGGGGACGGAGCCCGGGGGTGCCTAACCACGTCCCGAGGTGTCTCGTGTGTTACTTAGAGGCAGTGAGTTGCAGAGGCTGGCCTCCACCTGGCGGTCCTTGTGCCTCAGCCTCCAGAGCCGTGCGTCACRGCCGGCGTGCACCCCTGCGGCCAGCAGAGGGCAGCATGACGACGACACTTTTGTCCATCTGTCCACTGTGTTTTAATGACGATGACAGTAATGGACCCACAGCCCTGACACAGGGACGTCCCTGCAGTCCCCTCCGGGTGGCCCTCACTGGTGGCCTGCTCTGTCCCCGAGTCTCCTGCTCTTTTCTGGAGGCTGCCCTGGCCTCCCCCTGTTCAGGAGGCTGGAGGCCGTCCTGTGGACGCCGGAGACCTGGGGYGTCCTGCTGGGGGCAGCTTAGTGACCTCGCGAGCCTCGCATCCAGCTGGTTCTGTGGAGGTCGCTGATCCTCCCTGTGGTCCGAGGGTTGGGTGGTGCAGCTGGGGCCCAGTCAGCTGCCCCGGCCACCTGTCCTGCTGAGAGTGTGCCAGGTGCGCGGGGCCACGGCCGACCTGGTCCTGTCAGGTGGAGGTGACGCTGCTGGGGGTGGACGCTGAGGCCGTGGGGGGCGGAGGCGGGGTGACCCTGTTCTGCCGGCTGGGCCCCTCCTGGCCGCCAGGGGGGCTGGCCCYGTCCTCTGGGGTCTCACTGACTGACCGCTCTGGGGGGGGGGGGCCTGGTTCTGCTGGACGGGCCGTGACTTGTGTCCCCTGGACAGACTGCGTCCCCCCGGAGCTGCCCGCCCCCTGCTCTGTTGGGTCCTGCTGGGGGGGGGGGACTTCTCTCTGGGGACCCTGCCCTGGCCATGGCTCTGTCACGGGGCTGGCCCACGTCCTGCTGTGACRGGGGCTTCCTCGGTGACATCCTCTGCTCCCTGCGTGGGGACGTCTGACCGCCCTACGGTCGCCCTGCGGACKCTCCAGGTGGGGGACGGGCTCTTAACTGGACTCCTCTCGGGGCCTGGGCGTCCAGGGGAGGGGCAGCCCATGGAGGGTGACCCTGCTGCTCCCTCACGTCACCCGGTGTCCCCTCTGGTGACGACATTCTTGTCCTGGGACTCGGGACCCGCCTGGGAGCAGCCCCGGTGCCGGGTCCTCTCTAGGCGGGCGAGGGGCCAGGGACAGGGTGGGAGGACACTGCGCTGTGGGCAGAGGCTCCCGGCTCTCAGGTGACCGCTGCAGAGCCCGAGGGTCTGACCGGGCAGGGGACCAGGACAGCCGTGACCGTGGGTGGAGGACAAGCTCCGCCTGAGCTGTCCCCGAGCTGTCCCTGAGCTGACCCCGAGACCGGCCGCCCTTCCACCTGCAGCGGCAGACTCTGGGCCACAGCGGACACCAGCACCTTCCCTGACCAGAGCCGGCCTCTCCAGAGGAGGCCTGGACAGGGCGGCCCCCACACCACGGAGAGCCGGGGGGAGGGGGAGCATCGTTCATTTTGGGGGGCACTGAGGACTGACCCCCGAGCCCCGCCCCCTGAGCCCCGCCCCCTGACCCCGTCCCCTGAGCCCCGCCCCGAGCCCCGCCCCCAGCCCCGTGTTGCATTTTATTGAGGGACAGGGCCTCGCTGAGCTGCTCAGGGCCTCGCTGCGGCTGAGGCTGGCTCTGACCTCGCCGTCCTCCTGCCTCGGCCTCCCGAGCGCTGGGTCCACCGGGGAGCGCCGCCTGCCCGGCTGCCTGTTCACGACCGTCCTCCTGCGACCCCACGGGAGGTCCCCACGGGGTCCCTGGGCAGTGACGGGCTCTTCCTAGGGCCGTGCGGGAGGCGCAGCGGGTCCCACCCGCGCCCGGGCGCCCCGCGGCTCCTACCTGGGAGACCATGAAGCCGTGCGCGTGCTCCTGCAGCAGGCGGAAGGCGGGGTCCAGCGCGGAGCCCATGGTCCCGTCTGAGCCCCTGGTCGTTGCTCCAGGGAGCGCCGGCCCCAGGGGCGTGCGACAGCTGGGGACCGCAMCTCTAGGCAGGCGCCTGAGCCCGGGTCGGACTCCGCAGGAACCAGGGCCTTATCTAGGGATCACGCACGCGGCGGAGGGGCCGGCCATCTGCTCTCTGCCCCGTGCGCACACGGCCCTGCGGTCGCCAGGGCAACAGCGGACGCACCTCGGCCGTCAGCAGACAGAGGACACCGCAAACCAAGGTGCTCCCCGGCCGTCACCGGGGTCACTGGGCGTCCCAGGCCCTGGCCTCCTTCCAAAGGGCAGGGCGGTTCCGGTTGTCCCCGGGGATCCAGGGGCGGAGGCCCAGCAGAGAGGCTCCCTCCCAGCCCCACAGGGCGGGACCTAGAGGGCGGGCTGTCAGGGGACCAGGGTCCCCGATGGGCTCCCTCACGGGCTCCAGGGAGGCTCCAGGCGGAAGCTGGGCGTGGCTGGGTCACACCTGACCCCAGCAACTCTTGGGAGGCTGTGGGCGGAGGACGGCGAGTTGGAGGCCAGCCTCAGCAGCTTGGCGAGGCCACTTGGCGAGACCCAGCCTCAACCCAAGTGAAGAACAGGACCGGGATGAGTCTGTCAGCTGCCCCCCAGATAGACAGAGCTGCCCAGGACACGCGGTCRGACACCGCGGGGGAGAGCCTGAGGCAGCCTGGGTGTCACTGGGAACCAGCGGTGACCGTGGCCGTCCCCTCAGGGGGCAGCGTGCGCACAGGGCCCTCTCAGGCCAGGGCGGGGCTCTGAGGCTGGGAACCTCGGGGGGTCCTGCACCTTCCCCCAAGGACACCAGGGGACGCCTGTCCTGGAAACCCTGGCCCCGGGTGACACCGGCTCTGTCTCCCCGGGGCCTTGAAGGCCACTCTCAAGGGACAGACGACCCTGCAGGGCTGGGCGGAGTGAGGCCGGGTGGGTGGCCAGGGAGACCCAGCACAGGCCCCAAGGGTCCTCGTCCTCGTCCACTGTGAAATGCGCTCGTAAACACGGGGCGTCCTGATGGTGGACGACACAGGGTCCCTGACGGCTGCACAGCGCCTGACGAGGCTGCCTCCGCTTCACGACCCGGTGGCTTCAAACACGTCCCCGTCGCTTTGATACGTCTAGGAGCACCAGGCTGCGCGAGGGTCCCGGGAACCCCACCCCACCCCTCTGGGAACCTCGAGGGCGTCCCTGGAGAAGGGCCCCAGGAAGGGCCATCAGGTGACAGGGGGTCCTCAGGCCATGGCCGTGTCCTCCCCAGAGACAGAGGAGGGGACACAGAC